GTTGATCTCTTCAAATGGATACCTAATGCGTAGCTGACGGCTGCCGATTGTAGCAGGTCGTAAACTATCGTATAATAACTATCGGCGTCGAAGTAACGGAGCACTGAGGCGTTTAAAGTGCGAACGAAACGTAAAAGGCACGCACCGTGTTTACAGCGATGTAATCATCAGCGCTGGTGCGTAAACTTTAATAAAATGTATTTTACAGGAAATCACAAGTATGAACAGCACGCCGCGCCAGTCAAGTCAAGACAAGACATTACAAATTCCTATTCACCGTAAAATGACACCGAAAGGGGTGCGTTACATCAAACATCCTGATATACCTTTCATTATCTATATGCCAAATCTATACAGAAATAATGAGGAATTATCTACCACCGATGAGATTGTCGGTGCGCCATATTTTGACACAACTGGTAGACCGTCCCCAAATTATTATTCTTACTATCCATATAATTATCCGAACTATTTAAACCGCGACTCGGGCAATGCAGATTTCTGCACACAGTAAAAAATTTAATGTCAATGAAAGTCCACTCTAAATTTTGTGTTAAAATAACTCATTCATCGTGTTACTTGTTGATATTTAGAAATGTTATATCAACATTTTTTACAATGTATGTTTACAATAAAATAAAAATAATTTGTAAAAAATGTTGATGTAACATTTCTATATAAATGTCAACAAGTAACACGATGAATGAGTTATTTTAACATAAAATTTAGAGTGGACTTTCATTGACATTTGGTACACAAAATTTTTTACTGTGTAGCAATCTCAAGAGAAACTCAAATTCAGACGATGATTCAAACATACCTGGAATCAAAATCAGACTCCCTGAGAATTGGTTACATTACTCGAAAAGTGCTGACAACAGGGTTGGAGTTTCGGAATGGTTCTGGCCCTGGGCTAAGGAGCTGGTTTTCCAGAACCGGAATAAATGTCCACAACCGCAAATTCGACGACCACACTATTAATCCACCTTATGAAACGTCTTCGTCACCAGTTTATTATTAATAAGGCACTGTTAAAGATATGACGGTGTTATCGATTCCTACCACACTACCTTGAAGCAACGAGTCGATTGACCGTAATGGTTGTCATGTTCTATTTATTATAATTAATTTTTTATAAGCGTACATTCCTCTTCAAACTTCGTCCGTCGAACTTTTACTTACAATTTTCTAAATAAGAAATAAAATGTTTCATTTCGGTATTATAAATCTACGTATATATGTACTACGCTTTTAAATAAATATATTTTAATGAGGACATTATGTTCTTTTCATTTCACACACTGTAAACCTCATCATATCATAAAAACCCATTCAAAATTATCGGCATTTATATAAATATATATCTAATATGGTAATAATTTTACTATAATCTTTTAATTTTTTATTTAAAGTTCTGATATGTCTTTAAAACAAATAATTAAAATAAGTAAACAATATAACAGCCCAATATAAAATTAATACTACTAAATGTAAATTCAAATCTAAAATTCTGTATATCCTTTATAGATAAATTAATTAACGAGAAAATAGTTTCAGGATTAAATAAGAACCAGGCTATCTAAAATTATAAGGTTTTATCGTGGAATATAAACACATTCGAGTATACTTTTACCAATAATCCTAACTTTGATTGTAGCTCGTAAGCGCACACAACGATGAAACGAAAATTCAATTTCAGACAATTTGCCGGGAGAGTTAATTGAGTCGAACGCGGGGATCGAGGCGCCGCGCCGCCCGTACGTCTGTAAAATATGCGAATGCCGGAAAAGGAAAGCAAACACTGATCGAGATTTCTGACTCGCCCCCGGGTGCATCTCTCTCTGATTAAATGCAATTTCCTCGATTCCGCGGAAAGCTACTTCCGATGGCACGCGCGAATGTTTATCTTTCGTTATTTTTATTGACGGGACAAACATCGCAATGTATGAAACGCAATAAAAATTGGTCAGAGAATTATATTTGTTATTATATTTGTCCGAATATAGAATTGAATGGCAAGTTTCAGCAAACTACAGAGATGAACAGACAACGAACAAACATTAAATCATAACCTTCGGCTAATTTTGCGGAATCAATTGGTAGTAATCACGAGATCCATTGATCGAGATGCATCGTTGATCTCTTCAAATGGATACATAATGCGTAGCTGACGGCTGTTGTAGCAGGTTGTAAACTCATCGTACGCGTTGAGGTAACCTGAACCTGAACGCGTCGTGGTAACGGAACACTGAGGAGTTTAAAGTGCGCTGGAAGTTATGAAACGAAACGTAAAAGGTATCGCACCTTGTTTACAGCAAGCAATGTAATCATCAGCGCTGATGCGTGAATGCTATCGCGAAATAAATTCGATATTTTGTACGTTCAATTCTAAACAGAGATCTTTAAGTTTCGCTGCATCCTCTTTCAAGTTGGTTGTTAATAACGTGGTAAGAATTTTAGTTACAAGATGTAATTGTGGCCGTTTTATTTGTATCATCTTGTGCAGCAGTCTAATATTGTTGTTACACGCAAGTAATTTATCAGAAATTTAGGGAAAAGCACATTTATCAAACGGAAGCTACAAATTGTTGGCCAGACGTTCCACAACGTTTGCCGTAACAACGACTACATGCAGAAATCGGCCGTTACGCTTGTAACAGGTGAGTTAACTTCACTATAATTAAGCATTAATAAGTCAACGAGGAACCTTAATTGTCTGTCAAAATATATACATAGCGCATTATCACTTCACATACTGCCAATGTAGATTTGTAGATACATATTTAGCAAATTATTTTTCAAGATTGAAAAATTCTTGAGTTATAAATAATATAGAATTTAAAAAAAAATTAAGATCGTTCTATAAAATAGAATTAGAAAGAATAAGATAAAAAATCCTTGAAATAAAGGATTTAAATATTCAAAATCGTAGACAGATCACACAGAAATATATAAAATTATGTTATATATATTCTATTTCGCTCTATTTTATTTTTTATCTTCCAAATAATGTGTAAAATAAAATATTTATTATATAAGCGTTTAAAAGTTTGTTAAAATTTTATGTGCGTTTGGTATTTCAGATCTTCAAGACTGAGAGAATATCTTCAATGTACTTATTAGTCGTTTCTGCAGGAATCTTTGGTTTTTTTTAATATGTCCGTTCTTTACTCTTCGATAATCGAAGCGTGTCGAGGTCTCTTGGCCGGAAGCCGGTTTCATTATAGAGAACGTATAATCTCAAACGTATAATTTCAAACTCAGATTCACGAAAGTGAAAAAACTTCAAACGTAAAAAACGCCGTCGCCGAGTGAATTTCAAAGGGAACGCTCCTAAGTTCGACGAGCCCGAGCATTTTGTCGTCCCCCTCCGACTTCAACTTTGACATCTCCTTGACTCTTTGAAGCAACTTTTGCTCCGCGTTTCCCGCGTTCGTAATTCCAACTTGCCGACGTTCACATATTCCGATTTTCTTCGCGATATTATATATGCGCAGGCGACAAGGATCGTTTGTTAATTTATACGACCTTTGAGGCAATCCAATATAACGGCGCCGCATCCTTCTGCAGGACAGAATTAATCGAGTATGCAAATGAGAGGCAAGTATCGCTCTCGCAGATCACTTTGTTTTCCCACACATATCGATTTTTCCGGTTAAATGAACAATGAAACCTTCGCAATCACAGGAAGTACGGATATGAGAGAAGTCTATAATTTCTCATTCTAATTCTAATAAATCAACATTTATAAGTAATGTTAAGCTATTACTTTAATTTTGTCATGAGTTTCATATTAACACTAAAATATCATTAATAGCGGAACCTTGAAGAAACTAACGAGTTTATAACTCACGGTTGCTCCTTAAGTAACTTCTTGATTAAGAAGTTTCAAAGTTTCAAACTACAGCTTTCAATATTAGACGATGGCATAAATCATGAAAAAAATTAAATTTAAATTACAAATAAAAATTTACATATCTATGATATGGCAATCAAGCTCTTAATCTAAGGATTATTTTCACGCGCGACAAAATAACCTAATTAATCTTTTATTTCTCAGTTTTTGCGCACTATATAGCAGAACAACCTCAGATTACTTTGATAAACTCGATGTATTTTAAATGCTTCGGAAAATCCTTTTATTTTCAAAATGAGAGAGAGAGAGAGAGAGAGAGAGAGAGAGAGAGAGAGAGAGAGAAAGGAAAATATGATCTGTGTGCTATTATAGTAATGCAAACCGCTTAGCTGAAGAATTCGAAACTCACGATTTTGATGGAAGCTGGGCGCGAATACGCTAGAGAATTTATATTG